TTATAATTGAATCCGGTTTACTGAGTTTTGAAATACGTTTATGATTGTAAATCGGGTCACGAGACTCACGTTCTCTGGGTGTTTGAGGTGAGGCGTAAACCTTTCGCGGATGAGACGCATAGCTACTGAAGGAGTTTCATTAAAAAGACTTGGTTCCCCATCGACCATTTCAATAATTAGCACTCCAAAGGACCAAATGTCGACTGCTGTGCCGTACGGAGCTCGAGCAATCACTTCTGGTGCCATCCAATAAGGTGTCCCAACTAAACTTCTTCGGCGTGGACACTGCGGAGTAATCTTCAAAGCCAACGCATCGTGTATTTGTACACACATTCATTTTAATCCATCGTTATAAACCAAGAAGACTGTGCCAACAAACTGCGCATTAGCAACGGCATGATTGGTTTTTTCATTGTAATGCAAAAATCATTTTGATGGATTTAATCTTTAATCTTTTCACTCCCTTCAGCGGTTGAAAAGGTTGGTCGATGTCCTTTTTATGCACTAACTTGTTGTACAGCATGGTCGAAGCATTATAAGCAAACAAGACGTAATTTATGTATAACGTAGGTTTACATAAACACGGAACAAGACATACCGTAGCGCAAAATCCGAAATCGGAGAGTTTTACTTTAAAATCAGAAGCAAGTAAAATGGAGTCTGATTTGACGTCTCGGTGAATTATGCCGTTGCTGTGAAGGAAGGCCAATGCGGAAAGAATGGGAATACTCAGGGTCGCTATTTGCTTTTCGCTTAATCTATAAAAATAAGCAATACACTAACGCTGCGTCCCTCCACCTTTGCTATTTGTTTTGAGAAGAGCGCCGCATCACCAAGTTGAAGAAGGCGTACGTTAATGAAGTACGGAAAGTGGGGTAGGCACAAGTGGGAGATTTTTCTTGAATTCACTGAAGTCATTTTAAGATAGTTTGGAAGCACTCTACTTACTCTTTGATACACGTAAAAGTTAACACGTTTCGACCCAAGCCACCCCATTTACAAACTATGGCATCTGCTTAACAAATGGATCAATCAGTACATTCCAATGGTCTCAGCCTCTTATGCATTTGCAGGCGAATTTTAAACCAAATATTGTATTTATTTTTCCTTACGTCCTATTATTTTACCGTCAACTACGTGATGCTGAATGAATAAGCGATTTGAGTTGTTCCTTGGACCTAATTTTTTTGCAAAGTTAGTAACTGCAAAAGCAAACCTTATGAAAAACTTGATGATTAGTTGAAACTGTACACAATTTTGGAGACAAAAACCTCCCTACAGACCTCGCAACTCAAGATTATTTGACCTCATGCCAGCTCCCGACCAAGATGCAAATTTATTCGGGGCGGAATACGAGCAATAATCGCACCCATGAATATCGAATGCGCCTCTTCGAGCTGATTATGCAGTTGCTTATGAAATGCTTCTTCCGTCATGCGAGCGGTGAAATTTTGCTGAGTGCGCCACAGCTTTTGCATGAACAACACAATGGGAGGAAATCGCATACGTATAGCTGATTTGACAGTACGTGAACTACCATCCGTTTGATTGAAGAGCACGCGGAAGAGCCTTCTTAAATGTCACACAACCTTACCTAATCAGATCGCGAGATCAATCAATGCCATCATAGAGCTTATGAATGCCTGAGAAAAATGAATCCTTGTATCGAATACCGGCTTGTCAAATTTTAACTTGCTTAAAATGTGGACCATAAAGAGCAAAAAGCTTTCGCTTACCGAGTATGCGAGATAAAGGATGTAAGCGCGCCGCAATCCATGAACTCCATAACCACCCAAAAGTCGTCATTAACCAGGTAGCAGGAAAACATTTTCACAATATTTGGATGGGAAAATGTGCGCATGAGCACCGCCTAAAAAGAATGCGCTTGAAGGTAAATCTTCAGTAGCAACGCAGCATTTCCGGCCGTTAAGCTCGCATCCTCAAAGAGGACCGATTCACACACTAGTGGATAAGCTCTTGACACTTTTTTACTCGCTTTGTTACACTTCATATCACAGAGCCAACTAGACCCGTAAATTTGTCAAGAAATAACTGCATAATACCAGTTATCAGTACTTCCACCACTTAAATGAAGATTTCAGGTTGCAAATCAGAGTTTGGAAAGGTAACAGAATGTGCAACGCCAGCTCTCATTGTCTTCCCAGCAAGAACAACAAATAGCCAGACTTGTGCTTCCAGGCACATTGTGTCGAAAAAAATCTAACTTTCGATAGAGAAAATGGTTGATAACTTAACACTGGTAATAATTAATTCTTCCAACTATACTTCGAACTGTATAAAACGCGTTCAACTATTTCCTAGCCTTGAAGTGTGGTAAAATAGCTCTTGTAAGGTCAAATCGACTCAAACGGCCATCAGAACTAGGATCCCAATAATTTTGACTTTACACATGGAAAATTTGCATTGTAACAAAACATTCGTTTTACCATCACGTCAAGACTTCATAAAAAGAGAACGGGCGTCAACACAGGATCTCGGTAAATACATGGACCTACATTCTTAGTATATTATAACCCAAATGAAGGGGACGCAAGTAATTTCTATGTCGTGCAAAAGACGCCTTTAAAATTGCTTAGAGGCTGAAAACCTTCCTCCTTCCTGTGATTGCGCACATGAGCAGAGATCGCTGGACAGCGGCATAAAGCGTTCAAGCGGGAAATGGGCATCCCGCGATTCCTCCGTAAAAACAAGGCGAAAAGCTTTACCTGTTTATCATGCTTGTTCAGAATCAATTTGCATTTGAGCATCTACTCATCACACTTCTAGGCCATCAAACCAAAATCATTTTTCGCTTATGCCTTTTAAATAGAGTTAACATGCAATTGTCAATTGTCCGTAGGTTTTGCTTTGAGCGATAGATTTCAGTGACTTTGAGGTGCATGAAAACATGTCAGCTAATACAATTGCTCGCCGAAGACCCTGACTTTTTCTGATTTCTCATGCGCCAAAGTATGTGAAAGTTAACATCTCTCAAGGTGTAATTAAATCGAATAATGATTTACTGGGTCCAGTTTACCTCATTGATAAGGAGCTCTGGTCGTTGCTGGTTGGCAATTTTCATTTTCTTTACAGCCACAAGGGCCCCATCTAGCGATCGGCGAGCCAATTTCACCACACTTGTGCTACCTTCACCAATTGTCCCAAGCTCCTTCAGCAGAGATCGAGGGTCTCCAGGATCAACCTCCTTGGACAGTAGATTCTTCAACTAAAAATATCATGTTGTACTCAAAAGAAATATGTCAGTGCCATCGAGTCTCCACCTGACTTAATTATCCATGCCAGAACTTAAACAGTTAATCGTAGCACAGTAGTGGTACGTTTCTGACTGTACCTTGTGCCATTGACATAGGATTAATAACATTACAAATTAACTGCGCATGAGAACAACCGCAAAAGATAAAAAGCTACTTGGCGTACGTGATGAGTGTTTTGTTGCGATAATCAAAACCTGCATTTCTCTTAGCACTGATGTTCGTAGAACAGGACCATTTGAGTTGCATAGGGTCACCCGGTGGACGTATCATTAAGCTAGCCAGGTTAGACAGGCGCCGTTTTAGCAAGTGATGCAGAGCGAAAGGTGATCATTTTTGTTTGCTCAAAATGCACACTTATAATGAACCAAAACGAGCGAGAATTTGAAGAATTTTTCAATTCAACGATAATCAAAAAATGTTAAACATTGATCCTTTGCTTAAAAATGGCGTTTTGATGTGCAACGATGAAGAAGATTCGTTTGTATTCCAGAAGCTTCCCTAAGCTGTTTAAAGCATTTTTAGTTAGAATATAATAGGGTAGAGGAATATTATGTGAACTCACAACAAAAATTTGGGTACCGTATCTTTGGCACTTACATTCGTGGCTACAAATGGTTTGAGATCTTTAGGCACCCTATTCAAAGGCAGTAATTTTTCTGTCGAGAGCAAAAGTTTCCATTTTCCACAGTTTTTGCGCCTACGCATCCATATCATACTATACCGGCTTTTTCAAGAGCATTTGAATAGTGTTTCAGAAATTGGTGCTCCTGTTGATAAAGCGTTGCGAGGACTTACAGTGACGTGCAGTGAAAGTGTCCAGACGGTGCACAAAAAAACAGATATTTCAAATGTCTTCCACTACTTTGCAAAAACAAGGATTTTTCGAAGCAAAGCGGTCACAATGACCAGCAAAGATTACTCATGCTTCACTTCAAAAGGTACTTTCAGTTATTGTTAACAACCTACATAGACGCGTAAAAATTAGTGTCACCCCCAAAGCTTCTCCATTTGCATCATTCGCACGACTTTCACCTATGATGCTGAAATATTATTTGCTTTCCTAATCGGAAAAATCCCCTCACCTGATTTGATGGCCTAGCGAATGTACTTGATGAATTCTGCTTTTCCGACCGAGTCGGCGTATCTCAATTTTATTTGATTTAAAGGAAAGGAAAGGTGGATTTTGCCATGAAAATAATGTTGCTTCTGAAAGTGAAGCAATTTGTACCAACATGGTCACGCCTATTACTGTGTTAGCAATTAATATTTCGCGCCATTCCTCACGAGGGTTTAATGAGGCTAACCCGATTAGTGGCTTGGCGCAGTTAAACTACAGTCTATCTTTCGTGCCATGCTCTCACATTCTGCCTCACACTGCATGAAACATCGGGGACACCACTTCAGAATGACAGCCATGCGCAAGGGTGCAGGTGACGCAAAATCCAAGAGATTCACATGAAGTTGGTAAAGCACTCACCGTCATCCCCACTGCAAATGGTGAGACTAAATGCTTTCCCTAGCTTAAACAAGTTAACAAATTTATAGCTATCACGATTAACAACCCCTGAATTAAATATCAATTTTCGTAGTGATAGTAAACTAGAAACTGATCATAGAATGCTTTAACGCTATGCAGAGCCGCCTTTTTGGCAGGAACTTGAAAATGAAGGCTAGTTAGTGTCTACAAAATTTCAAAAAAGAATCAAGTAAACTCAATGTGGTGGATTGACAATAGTTCTTATCTCCTTAGGAGTAGTAAGTGTGCGAGAAAACAAGGGAGGAGATGAGAAGTAGTCAGTTGTGATGCAGCAGCAGCAACACGCCCACTTTTCTTGCGCGTGATTTAATGAATGGTAATCAAAAATTCAATTTATTTTTAATTCAGTCCTTTGCTAATACGCAGTTTATTTTGTCGAAGAAGAGTCAGTAACTTTTCCTATGTTTGATGTTCCGGTACAAGTGGCAAACACAATGTCAACAAAACATGCGATCCAATAGGAACTTGCTTTCAACAGGTCGTAAAACCATTTAACTTACATTGCACTTTACTTGGTAATCTACGAAAGTGTGCTACATGAATAACACATGCCTTCAGACTTTAACAGAAAATGCACTTGAGATAACTCTACAAGTCTGCAATGAATGTTGCATGATATCTACGGCTTGCAGAATGTTTAATCCCCTTTCGAATGATCTGCAGCGCCAAGCATTTGCACACTTTTGCCTGCAAATTTTTTAAATTAGGGAGTCATGATCGGCGAATGTGTAGGTTAATACTATCCAAACGAAATTTTCAACCTTCTGATCAAACGTACACTACGACTTACTGCTTTCTAGGTGGTGTTAAACTCAATGTTGCGATGCCTTACAATTTTGCACAAGGCGAAACTGAATTGGCGAGGCGAATTATTTGTCCTACAGGTACTTACTTGAGTTACTGAGTAATTGGCGACCGGAATAGGAGGAAATTTTTGACGAACGGACCTTTGAAGAGGAGTTGAGGCTGGATCTTCGCTAAAATCATCCGATTTTACCAACGTCTTCAGATGATTTAATGACTTTGATTCGATGACTCTATTCCTTGTCTGTCTTTGCGGAACTGTTTTGGCTGAAGTCGGCTTCACTTTCAATGAGCCATCCGGATCTGCTGCACGTCTAACTGAAAACTGTGGTTGCAGTGTTCGGAGAGTGTTGATGGGTCGGCTTTGCGCACGCGGTGAATTTGGAAATCCGCACCTAATGCCCATCTGAAGCTGTTCCAGTTGACTCCATGTAGAGGGAGTTTCATAGCCATTCGGAGGAGTGAGCGACGCCCGACGTTCAGAGACAATCGCTCCATCGTAAACACTTCGATAGTTTCGATGAATATGTTGCCTCTGTGGAATCTCAATACGGGTAGGCATTTGAAATGCTATATGAGATCGGTATCGTTTGCATCGCCTTGCCACCGATGGCGAGGTGTCCACTATGCTTACGGAAAGTCGGGCAACCTAAATTTCCAATTTGAAGAGTACTTATTATGGTTTTGCCTGAACATTTCATTAGATCCACCGCCAAATAGTTATCAACAGCTTCAAGGTGCTTGACACCAACTGCTGTATATTGCAGCTTGCGTCTGCCTAAAGCTTTGTCTGAGGTAGAATTAAGCCTGAAGTCAAATAATCCGATTTCTTCTGATAAAAATGGGGCAAATCCTCATTCACGACAAAAAAATTTTGGTAAGGGATTTGATGACTAATAGCGAAAATTGTTATTTCTTCATTACAACGTTTCACGCCCATGCTGCAGTAAGCCACATTGACCGAATCGTCGGTGGAACTGCAAACTTACACTTTGATCATCGCTTGGTCTGAAACCTCTTGGCGCGGTGTGTCCACAACTCGCCTAATAAATGGGAAATATGAAAATTGTAGTTTTCTGCAAAACCGATAACAAACCAAGTACATCTATTCCGCTGCATTACACCCAAAAATTCAGGTTCACATCGGTATATGGGATGTAAGGAAGCAGTCTAATTTCTAACAGTAAAAAATTTTGCGAATTCTGATGGGCAATCTGTCCAAGAAAGCCAAACATTGGTTTACACGAGGTTACTTTGGGAGAATTTGCTTTTAAAGTTCATAAATGCTTTCCTTGAACAAAAAAACTATGCATTGTATTCACATCAGATCGAGATCGTTCTGACGCACCTTTAAATTCCTACAGTACATCAAATTTAGTAGAAAAGAACTGCAAACGAATGGTTAATCTTTTTGAGAGAACAATGTACTGAATTAGCATACATATTTGCTGAAAGCACGCCATACTCGATGTTCCAACGTGAGATGGCGTAAACGCCATCCCAAGTATGGTTCCTTTGTTTCAAACTGACGTCAAAATCCTACGATAAATTTCATTTTCATGGTTTTGGGAAAATTACTAATCGTTTTCGAGCATTAGTTAGTGAAAGACCTTATTCTACAAAGGGAAACTTGTTTTGTTAGACCTGGCTGCACTTTCGTCACCGCTGTGAGAACTGTCACATACAACAACTTCCGCGAGGGAGTCGAAGCTCATTTCCTTTCTCCTAACAGTTCACTCAAATGCCTGATCGCTTGCAATGATCAGGTGATCAAGCTCTTCCCCAAATTTAACAGATCCAGTGAAAAGGCAACAGTTTAACTGCCTGTCTATGCTGCACTTCGGAGAGGTCTGGGTGTGTACTAACGAGGTGAATGTGGTGCATCGTAAAATTTGATTGTTGCCTGAGGCAACTTAACAAGGAGGACTAGATGCGTCATCGCAAAGTCTACCGAAGAAATCTTCACGGATTGAGTCAAAGCGATGAGGTTACTAGGCTTGAAGAGCGGAACTGGGATCACAAAACGGTCAGTATTTTACTAAAGACGTAAGTGTTAAACCGAAAAGTAATATCGCACAAAAGAACATCGTACTGGCAAGGCTTAAATCAAGCAAACGAAAATTAGTTTAAGAGTTAGCTGACTCTAATTAGCCTCGCAGTTATAAAGCTTATGCAAAATGTGCCGGATCTACTCTTGGCTAAAAACTAATTTCGATTTCAACAACACATCTTTCGCATCTCCTCTAAATGAAGGAGTGGAGGAAACTGGAAAGCTGTCAAAGCGACATCGTGCTGTATAATCACCAATGCTTATTTTCAAAGCAGCGTGTACGTACGTGGGCACTTTTTGTGATCACACTGAAGTGTGGATAATTGACAAAAACTTATGACTTTTAACAAGCGACGTTCCTGTGCGTCCGATGGCACAGTAAGAAAACTGGACATAGGAATTTGGGAGAGACTTTCAGTTTATCCTGCATTAAAGCGATCTGTTATAAAACAAAATGGATGACCAAAGAAAGAAGTTCAAAAATCTCTTGACAACCTGCTACCTGATCTCTCCGAGGATCATGAGTATCCACGAGGCTTTTTTTGTTCGTATCCGACAACGAAGTCTAAAATTAAAGTATGTCACTGAGTTACAAACGTTGTTTCAGTGCAGTTTTTTTGTGATTAAAAAGCGACCGATTCAGTTTCCAGCATAAAGTTCATGCACCTTTCGGTCATTGATTCTCTCGGCATTCGAGCGGCCCACCTGGAACATAGACGCCAAAATGAGCTGCCATCTTCCACAGACTGGCATTCAGTGCCCTATTCTTTAACGCCTACCGAGTTTTTGCGTTCGTACATGCGACGAATCGGTGCGGCGTGTTGATCATCCATTCGTCCTCTCAACTGCCCATTCTTCTGGTCATTCAAAAGGAAGCATAATGAAGCCCCCTTCACAAGAGTTCCTAAGCCATAGCTTTGAGTTGGTTGCATGAAAAGGTCAAGATCGAGGACCACAAATAACAAACATAATTTCACTACTACAGAACAAAACTAACTCGAACGATCTGTGGGATATAACAATCTACTTATTTTTACTGAACAGCGCAATGCTTCAAATAGGCTGGCGGTGGTAATAGATTCTGGTGTACTAATATGAAGCAATTTGACAGTGCCTTTTAGAGCGATAATTGAAGATCTCAGGTTCATTTGCCGATCATGAAGCCATTGCACAAAACTTATAGGCTCAATGCGGAGTCGCCGAGCCCTCTCAAGTCTCCTTAGCTTTAATATAAATTCAAAACCTCTATTCAGAAAAGGCTTCTTTTCTAACATCAACCTGAGCGTGGTGTTGCCATAAACCATAAACTGATCGAAATAGAGCGAAGAAAAAACAACGGAGGAGAAACCTGCACGGCTCGAAACGTCACGGCATCAGAACTTATCCTCGGTAGTTTATCTCCTTCCCGAAACGGAGACCGATCAAACTCTTGCCTGTTGACCTTTGAGATTGTAAAGCGTAAGAATAATTGAAATTCGCAAGCGAGATGGATATTATTCTAAGTACTTTTCAGTCTGCGCATTCTAGAATCGGGATCCAAATTACTTTTTGTCAGTAAATAGCTAAAATAAAGTTTGATTTGTTACACCATATAGGGTAGAAAGTCAGTTAAGTAATAGAATCGCTTGAGTTTAAAAGTTGATGGCTCGGGTGAAAATTTGAAACGAAACAATAATTGCCCGACTTGCACAAATCGTTGAGAGATCTCTGCACCAAGTCACTATGAGTGCAAACAGTGAATCCTAATGTAAATCTCAGAGACACCTTTTTGATACCAGCCAAACTTTTCATAAGAAATACATATCCAGAAGACCAGAACAAATGAAAGCAATTATAATATCAACCTGGACAAAAGCTTAGTATCGAATCAATCCCAAAAAGGTGGTTGTGAGATTCCGAGGATAATGTGCAATGAACGATCCACATTAGAACAATGCACTTAATTATGGAACAATGGAGGCCTAGATTGTAATTAGCTGGCATCTTACACGGCTACTTTGCATCGTCCGAAGGATGTCGCTATTCGTTTGTGTGTAGGTGGTCACACTGCGCCCTATCTGTAGTAAAAAGCAAAGAAAACTGCATCACCGGTAGAAGTCATGACGAAGCTGCATGGTGTGGCGCATTACCTGCAGTGGCCTGATTTGTTGGTCTCTTGCTCTTTGGTTGTGCAGCACGCGCTGGGACGGAAGCTCATCGTAGTCTTTAGTGGCCTAACGGTTCAGAATACAAAACTTGTCTTAGGAGGAGGTGAAAAGCCTTTACCACAACACGCTTAAAGCAATTTTGTTAAATCTGCATAATGGCAACAGTTGTTACTGCTCTGCCTTTTGCTAGTTTAGCCTCGGAACAACTTCAGAACTCTGTTATCACTTACAGTATGAGTTGTATGATTTTCCATGCATTCAACCTCTATACTAAAGTTCCCCTGACTCTGTTCCTATTCTTAATCATCATACTGAGGAGCAATAAACAGCCTAAAGCAAATACAGAACGGGAATATTATAGAGGCAAACAAGTTATTTTAAATGAACTTCTAAAGCCATTTTAATTCAATCGGTCTGGGATCCCAAAAATATTATGAAGACAGTGCGATACACTTTGATTAAATTCAGCCGTTCATACTGTCTTTACCACAGTTGCATTCGATGAGGCAGTCATAGACACGAAAAGGTTCTTTTTGTATAATTGACACTAAATTATATCCGCGTAAGCTTCGGGGCAAACACTGGCAAGCGTTGTTAGACTGTGCAGTAAGTCCATAACTTCAAGGCACAAGTAGTGTATCGTACTGATTAAGATGGATGGTTTGGTATTGTAAGTTAAGCAAAGTTATATATCAAAGGGATAAGCTAACCATCATAACTTCCGACATTTTAGATTAAAATGACTGCTTTACCTTCAAATCATACGATGGAGGGCTGATTATGGATTCCTCATGAGTTTGCAGCAAAGTTTGAACTGTTTTTATTTACTAACCACGGTAGGAATTTTTCATATTCTTTAGAAACTCAAACATAGGCAGTTAAAAACGCAACAACCTTTTCAAAGTAACATTTTGAACTCTTAAGAGCTGCGTCCATCAACGCATTCGATTAGCTCTATTTAAAGTCAACTTATTATAATTAAACTGTAGGACCCACAAAAAGCACTAATTTGACAGCTTGGTACTCACCTGACATGTATTAGACCTGAGATTTTGTAAGCTTGAAGCATGGGAAGCCTGCATATTCAAAGCTTTTCCCATATGGCTGCCAATACGCATCGTTTGAGACCGTCTTCCATTACCATTTGGTAATTCCGAATCATTGACAAATCCATGATTTTGTTTATGAGGTAGTATCAGTGAGAAATCCATGAAGCTATCCTTCCGAGGGCGCTGAAACTTTTATAAATGAAGCAAAAGGCAATATTTAGGCATGCAAATGCGAAAACGCCAAAACTGTTAGTTAGATTAGAAAGTACGCCTCTAAAGTTTGAATTCAAAGGCTGTTACTGTGTAAAGTTTTTAAACAATAAAGTCTTTGAATCTTGGACTTACAAGCGCGCAAATGGGAGAAAGGTCATTCGATGTGCTTGACCCGTTATAATTGGAAAAAGTGACAGACGTAATGACTGCTGGGTGTCTATCTTGGGGCTTTTTATGGGCGGCAGTTGTTCCGGCGCCCCGATTCATCTGTCTCAAAGCTGTGTCAGCAACGCCATTCAGCCTGCGCTCCGGCGCCTAAAATTATTAACGGGCGTGAAATCCATGAAACCTTGCACCAAAGATATGTACTTGAACAATAAGTAAAAAAGGCTAAAATTCATGCTTTGCTATAAAAAACGCCCCAAAATTAAAATCATTAATGCTAAATATTTTATATAATGTAAAACGCAAAAAATCGTACACTATACCTAAAAAGTTCGACAAGAATCTGTTGAAAAAAAATCTTGTATGAATTCGGATTAACGCTGTAGAACACAGGACGACAAAATTAGCTAAAGACAAAGCTCAATTTCAAAAAGTAATACGTACGTAGCCAGACTTATACTTACTGATGAATAATGCTGCTGATCCTGTTGAAACTTCAGTTTTCTCTCAGTACGTGTGCTTCGCGGTTTTCCGCCAGGTTTTTCCAAATGCTTTACACCAAAAACCTGGCCTTCCAGAGGGCCACTTTGCCCCTTGGCTGATTTTTCGTTTCCCCTTACAGCTGCGACCAGTGCCATAACTTTTTGTAAATATGCAAGACACCTTGAAATTGGATCAAGAAGACCGACCACAATCGACTTGAAAGTGAGACGGCTCGTGTGAAGGTCATAAAAAAATTAAGTTGTTGAAGATAACATATAATTTATACACAACAATTATGATGTGCTTTTGGCCTTAGATGATAGTAGAAATTTTATAAACATGAATGTTTGTGAAATATACCACGTTGTTTTTTTAATCTAAACTTGTAATCTTTTTATTACAATAGGTTTGTTTGTATAAAGAATGAGTGCGGTATTTATTATCAAATGTTCCTTTGCGCAGGAACATAATCCAGCGGCCTGTTAAATACATGACTTAGACGTGCTTCAGAGTACTTTAATGGAATAGGTATTATTAGTCTCCTCAGTGACAAAATCAGCAAACAGTGAGGGTAGATTGTATTGGGGTTGTCTAGATTTTCGACCACCTAGCTAAGGCTGAACGCATAGTTATTAAGATAGAAGGGGTAAAAGCGAGGGGATGGTCTAGCCCAAAGGCCGGTTTAAGCGACAAAATCAAGATGGACCTTAAATACCCACCTATCATGCAGGTAATAAAATAGATAAAGTACTGCACAGGTGACGTGGTCACTGCGTTTTTTGTAGATTGGTAGTGCACTGCTTGGTTTATGTGACTACCTGACATTAGGCCGTAACTTTAAGAATTGTCTGACCCTTGTACTCGTGGGCTAGCCTTCGAGCTATGCTCAGGCCCATTTGCCCTGTCCTCTGTGAAACTCATGTATCCGGACTTATGTACTGTCTTCTTCCAGCCGGTGGAAAGTTTCGAGGGGCTACAGGCAGAGTGTATAACGTGCATTAAAATCCTTACTTCACCTCCTTCTTCATTCATACGTTAGCTTTAAACCTATTCGTCTGAAGCCGCTTTTGTTAATCATTTCGAGGCCGTCAGAGGTAAGAGAAAACACCTGCTTACTATAGGCGCCGCTTAAGGGTTTTATTTGCAAATGAATTTTCTGTTGACCTTATCAAGACAGATTTTTCTTTGCAATATCACTTGAATTCAGAGCATCGGGCGGTCTGCGATAATTATTTAAATTTGATAAGTCAGCTTGACTTAAATTCACATTACCATTCGGCCTTAAACAGTGTCCTAAGGGCAAACGCAGAAAGTAAATCAATATCTTTGAGAGTAGAACCAGCGCCTATTTGATTAGTCACATTCCATTACGCAGGACTAGCTATACCTCTGAAAACCATATTTTTCTCTAGCGTTTATGACACGCAGCAACTTATCACCAAAAGTCTTCCTATCGAACGCAGTGTTAGTTCTTATTTTTCGAGACGTTATCAATTCTCCCATCAGTGTTCTATAAACTTGTGGTCTAAGCCTACCCCAACTACCATAGCTAAAGTCGTTCAAGTTTGTCGAATGCTGCCTTAAGACCCCTTACGAAACGAAGGTAATACGTGGGCTGAATATATACAGTGCTCAAATAGCAGTAACTGTGGCTGTCTGTGTGACATTAAGGCCCATTCACCTGAAGAATCATGCATAGGCACCCCAGTAACCATAATCGGAGTGGAGAATTACAGGCACTATAGCGTTGTCATGCATAATCACTGATAATTAATGTCCACTTCAAAGTCCTTGTATTCAATATCCGTGTTGTAAAATCATATTCTGCTACCTTACCAAAGTGACCACTGTAATCGTTTAGAGTGTGTGATCCTCAGGGAAGATGGAGCATTTGTGGGATCGGTCTCCGGGATCGCGCCATTTGCTTTCTTAGCGGATCTGTCATGAAAGTATATACTTATGTAGAGAGCGCATTGGAAAACATGATCCGAAATTCTCCATTGATACAGATGAACGCCTGGAACAGAAAGATTGAAAGCGAATTGTAGGGTGACGGAAGGCAGACCCGAATTTTCTCCAACTTCTCTGGTAGCATACATCACTTGCAGCCAGAAATAATATGCATACGTTTGTTAGGAGAACAGCCACTTCTTTCTCAATAAAAGGTATAAGAATAATGTCTGTTCGGCGCCTATTCTATTTTCAAGTTCTATAGACAAGCTGTTGGCAAGCGGCTAAAACATCTTTTTGGTACGAGTTGGAGTTTTAATTCCGGTCACGTACTTGAAGAGCTATTTGATGGCTTCTATCCACCAAAATAGGCGTTTTTCCGCCCATTTCTGTGCGTTTATCAACTTTTATAACCTGCAGGATGTCAAATGAAGCCTTCCAAATCATACTGCCATTAGGGAAATCCATCGGTAAGGACTTAAATGAGAGAGGGTAGAAATTACAACTGAGCAGCACTTGCCGAAATCATTAAGGAAAGCTTTGCCTCAGAAGATACGTATTCATGCCCTATAATTTGTTTAGGCAATAATGCTGCGCTAAAGCCTTTCCGCATAGAAATGTGTCTTGTAAAGTATACCAACTCCTAATCTTTGACATAATAGCCAGCAGTACTGACTCTCTGACCCCTCTTTTAAGTACGGAGCCAGTGCGTGAGGAGTACGAAGATAGGTTCCTAGAGTGACTTTGGCTTTTCGCCTCATCAATCCTCTCCCACTTCCTTTCCTACTGCACACGGTGCCTAATAAGCTTCCTCAACTAACTTCCTCCTAAAGTTCGAGGTTCAGGCACCTGAAAGTAGGAAGGCAGGCTCTACAGTCACATCACCAGCCATGCCGAAATCCTAGTCTCTTCTCGAACTGTCGAAATATATCCACATAGCCAAGTCTTTTGTGCAACGCATTAGTTGTCCGAAAGGAGCCTCGAAGGTCAAAGATTACATTCCGTTTTAAACAGCATTTTTGCAAGAATACCAACGTAATCCTGGAAAATTAAATACTTTTTCCTCCCTATGCTTCGTTCCTTGCATTTAGCAACTGAATGATTTTGGGAGTCTTTACCCAAGGTCTCGATCTCCTTCAATTTGTCAATTTATACAGTTCTCTCAAAATACTTTGCCTATCTTAAGTAGACGCTGTAATACTTTGTTTACATAAGTATTTGAAGTTTTGAGGCGACTTTAAAATTCATCTGGTCCTTGTACGCGGGGACTGGAAATCGAACCATGCAGATATCCTATTCTTTCTTTCTCTCTTGTAGTACACGCATTCTACTTAACACAAATGACTTTTAGCTTCATCATTTGCATTTGCAAATTGTCCTTTAAGGTTCTTCCTTTGTGTTATGGTTCTAATATATTCAGCCTATTATTTGTTGTTAAGGTCTTTAGAAAACGAATCTTATTCGTGTAACAATTCTAAAGCTTGCTTATTTTTTCAAAATATAATAATTTCTTTTCTCAAAATCATATACGTTACAATGACTGAGCTCTCTTAATAGACACTCTGTTTATATGAATAGACGTGCAGTGCATATTTGTCAATCTGGAATGCTTGTATGACGGTAGTGTTAGATTTTGTTGCCGTTCTATCTTTCTCTGTCGACGGCCCTGTATTTGCTGTCGGTGTCCAGGTCTGCATACCATAGAAAGTGTGTGAAACCCTTTTATTCAAACGCAATATCACATGGAGCTTATTCATGCTAAGTGTGTGTAGCTTTTTTGCGTTTATAGTGTAGGGACGGTTTCATTAATTCTTATGTTCCATTACTTGCTGTAAGCAGCCTGTCTGTCCTACTTTGTAGCTCTACTTCACATCGAGAAGAAATGGGAGACGAAACTGCATTTATTAAATCTGCCTTTCCTGGTTTTGCGGACGAGATTGTTTTCATTAAGACCGCCTTTCCAACGGAAACATCGCTGGTTGCAGAGTTCGCTCTTATTTTGAACTTATTGCGTTGTAGTGATTGTGGTGTTAACCTCGGTATCGTGGTGACACCAGGAGTATGTGGCTCCCCTGTAAATGTGTTTCTCAGACTCGATATATTTTGTCCTCCAAAGGTATTCTCAATCTACTGTATTATTCTCAGTATCCTCTTTTGCCACCTGTTGTAAAAGTGGTAGGTGCAGTTGGACTATCAGATTCTGCTTTATCCAGGCTTCAATCAAGCATCGCTGCCGTGCTTATTTCTTGTGATAAGGATTATGCTATCTTTCCGTTGATCGAGGTATTTCGCATGAAATAATTGCTGATGTGTCTGTCGCTCATTAAAGGATATGCTATCTGAATAGTTATCGTTGTTGCTAGATCCATTTTTTACAATTCAGCGTCTAGTGGATAAAACGAGGTCGTTTTCGATGTGCACATGGTCAATTAATTTGCTTAAGTATCGGCGCTTAAGTTCATCAGCGTAAAACTTTGGAAATCTCTTTCCCAATTTTTATCGGTGCTCAGCAGTATTATTAAGCGCGGTGTACATTCCATTGGCATTTATCAAATAAAAATCCTGTACTATTTCCTCAAAAAATGGTTTTGACCGCAGAGGTTTAGTACTGTCTTTGTTTTTTAGTGTTGTCGTGACTTTATTTCGAGCAACGTACCTTCTGTGGATTGTTCGATTTGTTTTGATGCCTTCCACACGGAGGATGAAGTACAGCGTTCCCATTGCAATCACTTTTTTCACAAAGAATGTTTGTCCAACTACCATAAAAATATCCTAACCTCTTACAGAAATGAAGTGGCTGCCCTCCTTGTCAAAAATCCATATTGCCCAAAAGACATGCGACCCCAGCTTAAGGTAGGCGGTTGACTATCTTTCTCAAATGGCTGTGACTGCCTTCTCTCCAGTTAGTACTTGTGTTCCAAGAATTCTAAACATTGCTGCACAACCTCAAAGCGATGTAGTGCCGAGGCTGACCATTTGTGATTTTATTTTACTGCTGCGCATAACGGATAAGAAAGATTTGTTTTAAAATTCCTTTCAGAAGGCATTTTTTTGTAAGTGCTTGTGTTTGCAATTAATGTGCCTCTGTTTACGGAAGCTGAGGTAGGAATTCGGCTTGAAATTTGGCTCATCGTATGCATAGTTCCAAGTTTGCTAGACTGCTTTTGTCGAATCCTCCCAATTTAAGCTATCTTTAAACAGCAAG